CCCAGCTACTCGGGAGGCTGAGGCAGGAGGATCACTTGAACCTGGGGAGGTTGAGGTTGCAGTGAGCTGTGATTGCACCACTGCACTCCAGCCTGGGCGACAGACCAAGACCCTGTCTCAAAACAACAACGAAAACCTACTAGATTCTGCCTGTTAATAAAGCATCCCATATAGTGGTTGGTGGGAATTTTCTGTGGGCACAGCAGGAAGGGGAGGCTCAGATCATGGGTCAACTGACTAGGTTGAGGGTATAGAGTAACTAAAAGGTAGGACTGTGCCATGGAATTAATCTTGGTAGAATATTCAACGTTTGTTTCATGACAAAAGATTTTTTAAAGTTCTAATCTTTTTGTTACTTGCATTATCCTCTTTCCCTTGTTGAAGCTGATGTGTTTGTTTTTGTTTTTGTTTTGTTTTTTTTTATAAGTAAACTTTGGCATTCAGAATTACCGTATGAATAATGGCAAAAGCTAATTCTTTTTTACACAGAAGTTGCCTTTTCCAACTTTATCTGAGTGGCCACCAGTGAGGCCTTCGCTCGTTTGTCATTTTTCCTTGGTCTTTTGTTAAGTTTATGATTCGTTCCTTGATATTGGTTGTTTTGGTGATAAGGTTGGTGCACGTGTTGGGAAAGGACAGCAGTGAAATGATTTTTCATTCTTATTATAGTTTAACCTCAGACATTCTAGGGCCTTCATTGTTTTCTGTTTCTGCTCCCATAGCTAATGAAAGGTTTTTTAAGATGATCGAAAGAAGCATAATAATTTCCTAGATAAAATTTGAAATCTAAAGATTAGAAGCTTAAAGTTAATTTCTGGTCTATTTAATGAGAGCAGTTGCTTTTGCTTGTGACACAGGCCAGCAACCCTCGAAAGAAGATAAATGTGAATTCCAGAGTGCCTTAGATTTTCCCACAGTATAATCTAGAGGGTCATTGACTTTCTTTATTAGAGTTTATCTCTGCTTTGTATTTAAATGACAGGACAATCATGTGATATTGTTTAATCTACTTCCATTCCCTCCCCAAATTAATTTTTTAAGACTCTTAGGATCTTTCCTGCCCCACCAAAAACACACATGTACTCATATTTTTGGTTGGGTAATACTCTATCAAAGTCTCTTCTATGTGAAAAAATGCCTGTTTTCAGGCCTCAGAGAGTGGACTCAAAAATGCAGAATAGAAGATGAGGCATCATTTGTAAGATTTATAGTATCCTCTTAACTTCTCAGCATGCTTACGTAAATTACATGCTTTCAGATATTTGGGAAATTGATCTTTTGGGGTTGTCCTACACTTCTTAAAAACAGGCAACAAAATAAAAATGCCACTGAATTTAGACTTGAATTGCCAGCTCTGGTAGCAAAAGTTTCTTGACATTTATTCTATAAACCTGGGCCCTGAGCTTGCTGTATTCTCCTGAAAGCAACTTTGAGGGCATAGGAAAATAATCATTTAAGATGCATTGTGGCCGGGCGCGGTGGCTCACGCCTGTAATCCCGGCACTTTGGGGGGCTGAGGCGGGTGGATCACGAGGTCAAGAGATTGAGACCATCCTGGTCAACATGGTGAAACCCCATCTCTACTAAATAAACAAAAAGTTAGCTGGGCATGGTGGCGGGTGCCTGTAATCCCAGCTACTCAGGAGGCTGAGGCAGGAGAATTGCCTGAACCCAGGAGGCGGAGGTTGCGGTGAGCTGAGATCGTGCCATTGCACTCCAGCCTGGGTAACAAGAACGAAACTCTGTCTCAAAAAAAAAAAGATGCATTGTTACTGTGTGTGTGTGCGCACGCGTGCACATGCAAGTTTGCTCTTTAGTGATTAGTAATACAAATTTAGAAAAGCCTCAGGATGTTCCCTGATTTAAAACTTAATTAATATAGAAGCTAATAATTTTCCATTCAAACGAATGTTAGAATGCCAGTGTTTTAAAGACAAAGAAATGTATGCATCAAAAAATATCATCTTTGTGGCATAAACTTCAACCATACCTCTAATCTGTTGCTCATTATTTTCAATATGAAGTACTAGGATCTTCTGGGTATGTGTTTATATGAATTACAACTCTCAACTTTGGCTGTATGATAGAAATATAACTGAAGTGTTATTTATTTGGTGAAATAGGTCCAGAGTGCTTTGAACTCCTTTTCCAAAAGCTTACTGTGGAATTTGGAATTTGGGGACAATAAAGATATATTGGATAAATGGGTAAAAATCTAAAAAAAAAAAGTCTGATTTAGTAACATCAGTGGACCCAAGTCAGTAAACTTTTAATGCATAACTGTGCCATACTCCAAGTATTAAAGAGGAGATGAATGGACCCTGACCCTGGGAATCTTATAGTTAGGGAGAGAACCAGAGTTAGGTGTAGTTCAGTGGGCTAAGTGTGAGAGTAGAGGTGGTTCAGATGTGCCCAGAGAAGGAGCAATTTCCATGGTTCATAGAAGGCTCCAAGGAACAGGTTGCATCTGAGTTGCGTCTCAGAGGATAACTTGCCTTAGGAGAGGACATTCCACAGTGCAGCATGCATGGGTGAAGGCAGGGAAAGCTGGAGCTGCGTGGTCAAGGACACATGCCAGGAGCTGGTTATGTGGTGACATTACAGGTCTGAAGTTGCCTGTGCCATAAGATGAAGGTTTGGGCAGGGGCACTGATATGGTTTGGATTTATATTCCTAACCAAATCTCATGTTGAATTGTAACCCCCAGTGTTGGAGGAGGGGCCTGGTTGGAGGTTGTATCATGGGGGCAGACTTCCCACTTGTTCTCAGGATAGTGAGTTCTCAGGAACTTCGGTTGTTTAAAAGTGTATAGCACCTTTCTCTTCACTCTCTTCCTCCTGCTCCAGTCATATAGTGCTTGCCTGCCTCCTTTTGCCTTCCACCTAAGTTTCCTGAGGCCTCCCCAGCCATGGTTCCTATAGAGTCTGCAGAACTGAGAGCCAATTAAACCTGTTTTCTTGATAAATTACCAGTCTCTTATAACATTGTAAGAACAGACCAATACAAGCACCAGCAAAAGGGCTTGTGATGCCATAGAAAATCCCAGTGAAGGGTTTTAAATAGGGGACTCATGCTCAGACACCTCTAATAACGGGTTTGGGGATGGAGAAGTACAAGGATAGAGATTAGAGGTACTTTAAGAGGCTGCAGTTGTTGAGGGGGGTGCTCAGGATAACCATTTTTTTTTGAGGTCTGGACCTCCTGGCATCACTGTGTGTTTTAGTCTGCCTGTGCTGCTATAACAAAATACCTTAGACTGAGTAGCTTATAAACAATAGGAATTTATTGCTCAACACTGGAGAATGGGAAGTTCAAGATCAAGGCACCAGCAGAGGCACTGTCTGGTGAGGGCTTGTTTTCTGCTTCAAAAATGATACCTTCTTGCTGTACCCTTACATAAGGTAGGGAGACTGCAGAGCTTGTTTAAGGCTTTTTTAAAATTAAAGGCATTGGTCCCATTCGTGAGGGTTGAGCCCTCATTACCTACCACTTTCCAAAGTCCCCACCATTAATACTATCATATTGGGCATTAAGTTCCAAAATATGAATATGGGGAGATACCAACATTTAGACCATAGCACCGTGTTGCGATTTTTTCCTTCTCATGGGAGGCAGATGGGACCATCCATGACTGTCATCTGGATTGTGTTGAATCTGAGATCAATTTGCGAAATTGCTATATTAACAGCATTAAGTCTTATATTCCATGAACATGGGATATCTTTCCACTTAAGTCTTTAATTTCCTTCAATTATATTTTATGACTTTTGGTGTACAAGTCTTGTACTTTTGTTACATTTATTCCTAAATATTCTTTTTCATGTTGTTTTGAATGGATTTTTAAAAAAATTTTATTTTAGGACTATTCATTGCTGGCATGTAGAAATACAGTAGATTTTAAAATATCATATATCCTACAGCCTTGCTGAACTTATTAATTCTAGTAGTTTTTTGATAATTTGTTAGGGTTTTCTATATATGAGAACATGTTGTTTATGAATAGACATCTCTTTCTTCCTAATATGGATGCTCTTTATTTTTCTTGGCTAATTGCCATAATTAGAACCTTTAGTACAATGGTGAATCAAAGTGACAAGAGCAGACATTCTTGTAAAGACATGTCTCTCCTCTTAAGGGAGAAAACATTTAGTCTTTATCATTAAGTATGATTTTAGCACTTGGTTTTTCCTAGATGCCTTTTATCTGTTTGAGATAGTCCCCTCTATTCCTATTGTGTTGGCTTTTTTTTTTTAATTAAGAAAGCATTTTGGGTTTTTTTTTTTTTTGTATTTGGGATTCTTATCTGTATTTTTTCTTTTATTCTATTAGTAGGGTGTATTATATTGATTAATTTTCAGATCTTAAATGACTTTTGCATTCTTGGGATAAATCCAACTTGGTCAAGGTGTATAATCATTTTTACGTGTTGCTATATTTGGTTTTCTAATATTTTGTTAAGAAATTTTATGTCTTCATAAAGGACGTTGATGTGTAGTTTTCTTGTGATGTCTCTGTCTGGTATTGGTCAGGATAATACTGGCTTCAGAATTATTTGACAAATTGTCCTTATGCTTCTATTTTTTTAAAGAGTTTGTGAGGGATTTGTTTAAATTATTCTTTACACATTTGGTAGAATACAGCAGGGAAGCCATCTGAGCTTGTGCTTTTCTCTCTCTGTTTTTTTTATCTGTAGAGATGAGGTCTTGCTGTGTTTTCCAAGCTGGTCTCAAACTCCTGAGCTCCAGTGATCCGCCCACTTTGGCCTCCCAAAGTGCTGGGATTATAGGTGGAAGCCACCATGCCTGGCAGGGCCTGTCCTTTTCTTTGCAAGCAGTGCTTAAGTTACTAATATAGTAGTTTGGTTAAGGGTAATTGTAAGTGAACATTCATCTCATAAATACCTATTCATATTTTATTCTTCAGCCAGTCTTTCTTCTGTATAATATCCAAATAAAAAGAGATTTTAATATACCTAATTATAACTTTTTTTTTCCTTACAGGTCTGTAGTTACTGTGGAACCAGTAAGCCATGGCATCTAAGAAATTTGCTGTTAAAGTAAGTAATGCTTAATAGATTTTTAAAAAGTGGTTAATCACTTTCTAATATAACTGAGTTCTCTGTTAATTGAAAATTGAAGTTCTGAAATTTCTACTTTACACTTGGGATGCTGCAAAAAATATATATATTTTTTCAGTTAAGTTCTGGGGTACATGTGCAGGATATACAGGTTTGTTACATAGGTAAACATGTGCCACAGTGGTTTGTTGCACAGATCATCTCATCACTTAGGTATTAAGCCCAGTATCCACTATCTATTCTTCCTGATGTTCTCCCTTCCCCTACCCCCCGAACAGGCCCCATTGTGTGCTATTTCTCCCTATGTGTCTATGTGTTCTCATCATGTGGGTCCCACTTATAAGTGAGAATATGCAGTATTTGGTTTTCTGTTCTTGTGTTAGTTTGCTGAGGATAATATCTTCCAGCTTCACCCATGTCCCTGCAAAGATCATGATCTTGTTCCTTTTTTATGGCTGCATAGTATTCCATGGTGTATATGTACCACATTTTCTTTATCCGTTTTATCACTGATGGGCATTTAGGTTGATTCCATGCCTTTGCCATTGTGAGTAGCACTGCAATGAACATATGCATGCATTTTTTTATAATAGAATTATTTATATTTGGGGGAGGGTATATACCCAATAATGGGATTGCTGGGTGAATGACATTTTTTCAAGTGGTGATTATTTGGGGAATTACCACACTGTTTTCCACAATAGTTGAACCAATTTACACTCCCTTCAATAGTGTAGAAACACTCCTTTTTCTCTACAACCTCACCAGCATCTTTTGTTTCCTGACTTTTTAATAATCACCATTCTGATGGCATGAGATGGTATTGTGTTGTTTTTGATTTGCAGCTCTTTAATGATCAGTGATGTTGAGTTTTTTTTTCATATATTTGCTGGCTACATGAATGTCCTCTTTTCCAAAGTGTCTGTTTATGTCCTTTGCCCACTTTTTAATGCCGTCATTTGCTTTTTACTTGTAAATTTGATTAAGCTCCTTGTAGACTCTGGATATTAGACCTTTGTCAAATGGATAGCTTGCAGATATTTTCTCCCATTCTGTAGGTTGTTACTCACTCTGATGATAGTTTCTTTTGCTATGCAGAAGCTCTTTAGTTTCATTTGATCCAATTTGTCAATTTTTCCTTTTGTTGCAATTGCTTTTGGTGTTTTGGGGGCTCTGAAAATTTTAAGTAGTGATATTGAAAATCTGTATTTTGAGAATGAGATGGGGGAGAAAAGGTTCAAATGGTTATGAGGAGTTCCTTGCTTTGTCTTTTAAAGATGCTTTTTGGTCATCACGTGGTCTTTACTACTAAAAATCATCATTCACATTCCATGTCCATGGCGTGATTTCTGATTATGTCAAAGCAAATGAAAGGTAGAAGTAAAAGAAGTAAGCAGCAAATTCTCTGCGTGGGTGAATACCAGGAGAGTTATCTTGCCTGGTTGCCCTCTTTCATTTTCCTCTTATAAATATCCCTTCTTCGTTCCTTGAAAGCTGGGGTTGAGACCTTCTCAGGTGTGGATAGATGGAAGGCTCCTGTGTGAGGGGTAGTGGGGAAGGAGAAGAGAAGAACTGATAGTGAGTACAAGATCTTGGAGATGCTTTCATATATGTTGGTGTTTCTTTAGGACAGTTTCTGTATGCAAGTGTTACCATAAGTGGAAGTTCAAAACATCAAAATATAAATTATAATAGCTAGTTTGCCAGATTAGATACTATTTAATATTATAGTTCTGTCTTATTTTTAATCAAGTCAGTGCTTATTTGGATTTACTAACATATTTATAAATTTTATTTTTTTCAGTTGTTTCTTGTATTCATATGTTCTTTGCTATTTCTTTCTGTGAAGGCATATAAGTGATGAACTTTCACAATTTATATGTCTAAAAATGAATTTTGGTCTTACCCTAGAAAGATATTTAGTTGGTTTTAGAATTCTAGGTTGAGCATTATTTTCCATCAGCACTTTAAAGATACTTTTTTATTGTCTTCCAGTATCTGTTATTACTGCTGAGAAATGTTTTTATTAGCTACTGATGCTTAAAATCCACCTTAAAACTTAGTGGCTTGAAACAGCAATCCTTTTAGAATCTCCTGATTCTGTAGGTTGTCTAGCATCAGTTGAGTAGTTTTTCCTTTTGACGTTGACTGGGGCTGCGGTTCTACTTAGGGACTCAACTTAGGTGGAACATGAAAGATGGCATGCTCGGCGGCAGTTGATGCTGGCTTTGGTTGGAATCTCCTCTGGATCTATTAATTGTTGTCCTTCAGTTCTCATCCAGGTGCCTGTTCTGTGTGGTTTGGCAATCTAGCCTGGTGGCTGAGTTTTGAGGGGTGGCGTCTTAGGACAAGACTTGCACAATGAAAAAAATGTAATTTTTCAGTCTTCTGAAGGCCTAGATGCACACATCTCAGATGCCACTTCGGTGGTCTTCTATTGATTAGAGCATTCACAGGGTTGGTCTAGACTCAGTGGAAGCTGCACTGTTGAATTAAGAAGCAGCATTTTCTCACAGGGCTTGGGAGAATTGTTAGGGTGCATCTATGGAGATTACTCATCTCAGAAGTTCACTGTTAGCCTGATCTGAATCCTTTTTTGGTTATCCTGCTTGTCTGGTTGCTCATAAGATTTATTTTTGGCTTTGCTATTCTATAGTTTCACTATGAAATCTCTAGTTACAGTCTTGTTTTTATTAATCTGGCTTGGGATGCAATGAATGCCTTCAATTTGAAGACTCAAGTCATCAGTTTTGGAAAACGCTCTACCATTTTCTCTGCCTCTCCTAATCTCTCTGTTCTCTTCTTAGAGATAACTTTTATTTGAAGTTTGTCGGATAGTCTTATATGACTGTTTATTACATGCTGGAAGAGTGAGGTTAATTTGTCCAAGTCTGAACCCCTCTTACCTGTCGGCTCAGAAAAGGGCTAAGCCTCTTGCAAAGCTCTGTTGAAACTGGCTATGGCCAAGTAGGGCAGTCCATCCTGGTCAACCATGAAGCTTGGACCTGAGGCCCCTAATTATGCCACAGATGAGTCTGTGGATACCCAAGCCATACACATGGAAGTGGCATATTTTGCTACCATATTATCCCATCTTATGGTGATATGTGCAAGGCTTAGAACAAAGCTTCCAGATCATGGCAGGCAGGAGAGTTGCCTTAACCGTGAGTATCAGGCTAGCAGAATAGGGACAGGGTTCTGACACATCATATTGAAGGTTCTGCACATCACTTCGTGATTGTATTTCTGCCTCTGACAGGCTAGGTGCCAGTGCTTCTCTAATCATGCACCTTACTTAAAAGCTTCATGACTCAAGCCTGGGGATCCCTTTTTAAATATCTGACATCAAGTTTTGCCAGATTTCTGTGCTCTGTCCCAGGGTATTGTGGGCAGCAGGAGACCTGCACACCAGCTACTGATGTTGTAGATATGCTTTCTCTAGTTAACACTGCTCCTGAAGTCTTGAGTGAGTGCCGCATGGCCAGTGGCCAATTGTCTTTCCCTCTTTTTCTTTTCCTTACTGCATTCAGAGTGCTTTTTTCTCTCTCTGAAACAGGATCTCAGTTACCCAGGCTGGGGTGCAGTGGTGTGAATATGGCTCACTTCAGCCTTGACCTCCTGGGCTTAAGCAGTCCTCCTGCCTCAGCCTCCTGAGTAGCTGGGGCTACAGGCATGCACCACCACTCCCAGCTAACTTTTTTTTATTTTTTATTTTTTGTAGAGGTGGAGTCTCACCATGTTGCCCAGCCTGGTCTGAAACTCCTGGGTTCAAGTGATCCTCCTGCCTTGACCTCCTAAAATGTTGGGATTATAGGCATGAGCTGCTGTGCCTGGTCCGAAATGCTTTTTAATGAGACCTCTTTCACTTCACTAAAATCAACTTGTCTATATTTAATCTTCTCTCTACTCTGTTTACTTTAAGTGACTGCATTTTTTATTTAAGAATTTATATTTGTTTATATTTTAAAAATTCAAATTCTATTGGCACTTTTTCTATATACTTTCTTTCCCTAGTTTTAAAAATTTATTTCAATTTTCTCCTTTTAATAATTTTAAAATGATTTATTTTATAGTGTCTTAGATTGTTCTTCTATTTTCACTGTTATTTATTAAGTGTGGAATAAATTGGTCATTGAAATTGCTGGATTGTTAATGTATTTATAAGTTTTAATTGTGCATTCATTTTCAATGACGTCTTACACACACACACACACACGCACACACACACGCACACAGGTGGAAAGACTTATGAGTCCTGCAGAGTACTTGAACAGTTTTAAGTTTACTTCTGCTAGAGCCATTAACACTTGAGTCATTTTGGATCAGATTTTATATTAATTTCATGGCTTGGGATTCTACTACCTTGTGGATAGAATAACTTTAGAACTCACAACAGAGTCTGGCACAAGCATGGTGTTTTTTTGTAATTTGCAAACACTCTCTCACTTCCTTGCTGTTCTCCATTCCCCCTCCTGGCCTCCCAAGGTCCTGGGTGAATAGCAAGTTTCCATGTTGCTTTCCTTGGTCAATAAGCAGAGATTTTTTTAGTTGTAGTTTCATGAAGGTCGGAATTTCCTGGGGGAATTAAGTAAAAAGCTCAATTGAATAGCTTCTTCTCCAATAAATTTATAGTTTTAGTTATGGACAAACTAGCCCATATAAACCAGAAAGTGTTAAAAGTAGATATATAAAAATTGCACATGTATGTGTCAAACATTGTATTATGTGCTAAAGGGATACACAACTGTAAGTTGAAGTCCTTCACAACGACTGGCTTAACCAACTGTAATGAGTTCATTCTCAACTCTCCTTTTTCCTTTATACCTCTAGGGCATTATTTATACCTCTAGAGCCTTCCTGGCTCTTAGATCCTGCTTCCAGATATTCTGACAGCCAAGCTTGAACCTTCCAAAGGGATGATTATTGATGAGTACTGTTAGGGGCTTATTAATTTCATTAGTCTTTTCCGAGAACCTAGT